ATATGAAAACTGTCAGAGCCCTTGGATGGCATTTAGACCTTTGTTTAAAAAAAAAGATTTTATTTATTTATTTTTAGAGAGAGGGGAAGAGAGAGAGAAAGAGAGGGAGAGAAACATCAATGTGTGGTTGCCTCTTGCGTGCCCCCAACTGGGGACCTGGCCCACACCCCAGGCATGTGTCCTGACTGGGAATTGAACTGGCAACCCTTTGGTTTGCAGGCCAGCACTCAATCCACTGAGCCACACCAACCAGGGCTATGCCTAGATTCTCACTGTATAGATGGAAACACTGAGGCCCAGAGAGGAAGAAGGCTTGCTCAGAGCCCAGCTTGAGAGGACTCCCAGTGCCCCATGCCTAGGCATAAGACTGAAAATGAACTTTGTTTGGGGGGAGCTGTTTTCTCTTCCTCTCAGGGCCATCAGCAGTGTTGATAACTTGCTCTCTCTTTGTTTTTTTGTTTGTTTGTTTGTTTGACGTTTATTTATTTAAAGATTGTATTTATTTATTTGTTTGTTTGTTTATTTAGAGGCAAAGGGAGTGAGAAAGAGAGGGAGAGAAATATTGATGAGCAAGAGAAACATGGATCGGTTGCCTCTCATACATGCCCCAGCTGGGGACCTGGCCCCACAACCTAGGCATGTGCCCTGACTGGGAACTGAAGCTCTGATCTTTTGGTTTTCAGGACAACACCCAACCCACTGAGCCATATCAGGAAGGACCACAGCTCTCTCTTGACTTCTTGTGCTTCCTCCAGTGTTTTCATGTCAAAGAGCACATTTCCTATAACCTCAGCTCCCCATTTGTTCATCTTCTACCCTTTGATTGTGAATGGGACAGCAGGGGCAGGGCTTGGCTTCCAGTCAGGGCCCCAAATAGCTATTGCCAGGCCAGCAATGCATGTGTTCCCAGCTCACCCAAGCTCCTGCCTGTGCCACTAACCTAATCATGTTCTGTGAGTAAAGCCCTCCCACTGGCATGGCCAGAGCACTTCCCTGCCCCAAAAGGCCCCAGCGCACACACACACACTGGCAAAATTGGTATGGGTTTCAGCCATCACTTAATCCAATCTCTCCATTGTCAGGATGGGAAGAATGACACCCAGGTAGGGAAAGGGAGCCACATAGGGTCAGGCCCAAGTTCTTGCCTATGAATTTATTGTGTTCTGGCCTTTAGACTCTGCCTGACCCTGTTCTACCACCCACTACCCACTTCACCCCCAGCCCGCCTTCTCCCAGTACCATCAGCTGGCTCCCTTCTCTCCATGTTGATGGAACCACAGGGGTACCAAGGGTTGAGGAGAAACCCTATGGAAAGAGGGTGGCCCAGTGCTGCCTGAGCAGAGGCTGCAGGGGTAGGGGTAAGGGGAGCCTGTTTTCTGCCTTTCTAGCTTAGCCAGTGTCCCATTCCAGCTAGCCATCACTCTTCATTCCCTGCATGTCAGGGTGAGAATCTCAGCCATGGATCCAGTAAGGCTCTCTAAGCCTACACCAGGGAACTCCCTACCTGAAAAGCCTGTCTCTCTTTTTTTTAAATTTATTAACTTATTTTTTAGAGAGAGGAGAAGGGAGGGAGAAAGAGAGAGAGAGCGAGACATTGATTGGTTGCCTCTCCCATGTGCCCTGACCAGGAATTGAACCGGCGACCTTTTGCTTTGCTGGATCTGGTTTGCTAACATTTTGTTGAGAATTTTTGCATCTGTGTTCATCAGGGATATTGGCCTATAGTTTTCTTTCTTTGTAGTTTTTTTTTTTTTTAAATGTAGTTTCGGAATTAGGATATTGCTAGCCTCCTAAAATAAACTTAGCAGTTTTCTCTCCTCTTGAGGTTTTTGGAATAGTTTGAGGAGCATAGGTATTAGTTCTGATTTTAGTGTTTGGTAAAATTCACCTATGAAGCCACATGGCAAGGAATGATAGCCTGGCAATGGGCACATGATTGAATTCGGAAGTGGATCTCGTGAGGCCTACCAACAGTCACATGAAAGAGGTTGGATGTGGACATCCTACCCCAATTGAGCCTGCAAGTGAAACTGCAGCCCCCGATTACAGTTTGAATGCAACCTCACAAGAAACTTGAGCCATAGGCACCCAGCTAAGCCATTCATAAATTCCTCAGTCATAGAAACTGTGATATAATAAATGTTTGTATTATTTACATTTTAAACTACTAAGTTTTAGGGCCATTTGTTCCACAGAAATTGATAACTACTCCACACCCTTTGATGCAGAAATTCTATTTCAACATACATACAGTAGAGCAGTTTTTTTCAATTCTTTTTGCATCAAAGCATATGTTTAAAATGTTAATATTTTCCTGGCTGGTGTGGCTCAGTGGATTGAGTGCCGGCCTGTGAGCCAAAGGGTAGCCAGTTAGATTCCCAATCAGGGCACAGGCCTGGGTTGCGGACCAGGTCCCCAGTAGGGAGTGCAAAAGAGGCAACCACACAGTGATGTTTCCCTCTCTCCCTCCCTTCCCCTCCGTCTAAAATAAATAAATAAAATCTTTTTAAAAAAATTAATATTTATACCAGCTCATTAGGATTAACAGACAATCCACTCTTAGCCAGAGACAGTCTCCAGGACAGCAGCTGGGTAAAACCAGACCCAAGTTCCTATAAGGCTAAAAAGATCAATATTTCAGAACACCCATTACTCAGTTGGGAAACTCTGTCCCAGAGAAACTCTTACATGTGGCCACAGGGAACCATGTTGATTAAATCTCCATTTATAACTGCAGAAAACAGAAACAACCCAAGTCCAGCATGAGGGAAAGAAATAAAAGAAATTTGATAATTCACACAACAGAAGTACATACGATGATATATTATAATGATAGGATAATGGAAAATTGATACAATAGTATTCTGCAGTTAAAATGCATGACCTGGATTTACATGTATGAAACTGCTAACTTTCTAAAAAATGAGTGACAATTTAAGCTGCAAAGGATATATTAATTATGATACTATTTATAGAATTTAAAATGCACAAAATAATAATGTGTATTGGTTACAGATATCTGCGTATGTAAAAAAGGAAAAACAAACATGGATAAGAAGGAAAATTCTAAATGGTACTTCTTCTGGGAAAAGAAGTAAGATGATGGTGTGGCAAAGAAGATTGAGTGCCGGCCTGTGAACCAAATGGTCATGAGTTTGATTCCCAGTCAGGGCACATGCCTGGGTTGCAGGCCAGGCCCCCAGTAGGGGGCGCACGAGAGAAAACCACACATGGATGTTTCTCTCCCTCTCTTTCTCCCTCCCTTCTCTTCTCTCTAAAAATAAATAAATAAAACATTGAAAGAAAAAAAGAAGAAAGATGAACAGGGTAAAGTGAGAGCCTCAACTGTAATGTTTTGGTTCATAAACAGAAGGATCTAAAGACTTGAAGAAAATACAATTTGCTCAATCTGTGTGACAGTTACATGGAAATGTGCATTTTATACTTGGTCCTTTTCTATATGTTTGAAATATTTTAAGGATTTTTAATAAAAATGCATCCTTTGTTAAATACAAAAATATATATACATTAGATCAAGCTTATTAGTCTTATTAAGTGTATTGTTCAATCTCTCTGTATCCTAATTTATTAGTTTATTTGATCTAGCTGTATCATAACAGATGTGGTTAAGTGTCCTGCTATGATTTCAGGCTTTCTGATTTTTCTTTACATTTCTACCAATATTTGCCTTGCATATTTTGAAATTACATTGTTTGGCATATAAATTTTTGAGACTATATCTTCTCATGGAATGGAACAACCTGTTTTGTTCTCTTGAATGTTTTTTAGTTTGAATTCTTGATTTTTTCCTGTGTTAACATTAGTACACGTCTCTTCCCTCCTTTCCTTTCTTTCTTCTTCCCTTCTCTTTTTTCTTTTTAAAAATTTCATCTTTCTCCTCCCTCCCATTCTCCCTCCCATTCTACATTTCTTCCTTCTTTCCTTTCTGCCAGTATTTAACTGGCATATATTTTCCATTCTTATTTTTATTTTAGGTGAAATTTATACAAACAGCATATTAGTAGATTTTTGAGAACAAAATGCTCAAAATGAGTTTGTTTTTTATATATGTAACCCATAATACATACTGATATACTTGGTTTAGTCCTTCCTTTTGTGGGTTTTTTTTTTCCATCCATTTTTGTTGTCTGTCTTCTCATTTCTGACCTCTGTTAAGACTGAATTCTTTTTCTTTTTTTGTACATGCTATTTCTTGAATGGTTTGAAAGTCATATATCTTTTCTGCATTCTGTTGTTACCCCTAAAATTTCTTGTTTTTATGTGTGCATTTTATTTCCAGTAGGAACCAAACTTCGCTATTGTTGTGAACCTAGGAACTCTCTCTTGGTTGCAAATATTAGAGATGAATCATGAAGTGCCATTTTTTAAAAGGAAGTGAGATTGTAGCAATCCAAAAGGCATAGCTATAGTATTTTTGAACTGCAATGCAATTTATCAGAATGTGAACGTGTGTTGTTTTTCGTGATTAATTATTTGTTTTGGATAGAGTAGCTTCATTTTGTGATTAACAGCAACAAATTCTACTGTAAACAGTTCAATTTGCTTCAACCAGGTTGAAAAAATTTAAGCTTATTGCAATGCTAAATATAGTTTCACATTTTTAATACTTCCAGTACAAACCATAACATGTAACATAGGATATATATTAATATAATTACTTTCACATTGGAATTAATCAGAAAGAATTTGCAGATTTCATTTTATTAAAAAAAAAACCCAGAACAGAAGGGAGTATTATTAAATGGTTAACATTTGTTAAAGCTGGCTGTTGGTTACATTTCTCGCTGTCCTTTTCTGTATCCTTGACGAATTCATCATTTAAAATGAAATAAAGCTTGCGAGCCCACCGCGATTTGTGTGGAGCGGTTGCCACCTCCCCCTCCACCTGAAGGGGGCGGCCCCAGCTGGAGACTCCGTCACTTCCGCCGCCGCAGTCACCGCCCGCCCGCTGTTTATCTGGCGGGGGAGGAGCCCGACCGCGAGCAGAGGCTCTGGCGGTCTTGGCGGTCGGAGGTCCGGGAGCTCTTCTCCAGAGGACACGCGGCTATACGCACTGGTGAGTGAAAGGCTGTTGATGTCCTGCATTCATGCAGACGGGGCTGTGGGATGAGTGGCCGGGCACCGGGGAGCGGATTTGGAGGAGCTGTAACGAACAGATTTTCCGGCTTGCCCCTCGGGAAGGGGTGGGGAGATCGTGGGATCTGAGTGCAAAGGGAGGCCTGAGTCTTTTATCGGCCTGTTTGGGAGCCCTATCCTCTATCCCCCAGCTCCTTTCCTGTGGCGCGGCCCCCACTAGAATGGCCTTAATCCGTGAGAGGGAGTGGTGGTCGTGGCACTCACACTGCCTCTCTTCCCCTCTCCCCTTCGTCCCTTCTCAGCCCCTTTGCGGAGCAGTCCGCGGCCTTTCTGCCCTTATTTTACAGCTAGTTTGCTGAATGGTAAATTGTTAACATTGTTAGATAAATATGTTGTTGTCAGAAAGACAAATTATTCCCAGGGAAAAAACCATACCCACACCCGTCATTCCCTCTCTTCCCTGCCACATTGATTAGAATCTAGCATTTAGGCTTGTAGTGTTTTCCCGTCTCTGATTTGACATTGTGGCCCCCTCCCCCCTCCTTGTGTCCCCCCCCTCTCTGTCCAGGTGTCTTCCTTACCCTCTCGCACGTGGGGACACACACTAGTATGCACGTATGCACATGCACACCCACAGGAAACTTCCTTTGGAAACCCCTTCCTCCTCCACCCAATACTCAAGGTTCCTGCGCGACCCTTCCCCCATGTATGCATAGACACACTGTCACACCCTTCATTGCCTTTCCCCAGGTACATACATACACAGACACACACACCCTCACCGTCCAGATCCACCATACCCCCCTGCCGTCCACATACATATGTAAGGATGGCCTCACCTTGCTGGCTCCTCATTCATATACCCCTTACATACAAATGCACCTCCCCACTGCCTTCACACACCTCTTCCAAAAGCTCCCCTTTCCTGTCTGCTACAGATGTGTACAGACAGCCACCCTTTGCTGGCCCCTGTGGTGCACACACTCACACTCACAAAATCTTCCTCCACAGACACATTTCTCCATTGTTCCCTCCCATTTGGACTAAAACACACAAACTCATGGATACCCATGTCCAGTGCCACCATACCCTTCCTGGCCTGCTACAGACACATGAACCCATGTGTCTCTCCACATAGTTCCAGCCACCACACATACAGTCACACACACACACACACACACACACACACACACTCAAATTCCCTTTCTCTCACACTTACATGCACCCCTCTCCTCTGAAAGCAGCCCACTACACCTGCCATTTTCATACACACATCCAGAATGGGTCTCATTCTGTGTGATAGTCACACTTCTTCCCACTACCACTGTCACCTGTACCTTCCCCCTACAAACATACACATGCCTCCATTGCACGCTGCTTCGCCTTCCACCTGCCCCTCTCCTGACAGACACGTAGGCACTCGGCACATACACAGTGATCTATATTTTCCACCCTACTCCAATGTGCAATTCTTCTGTATGTCTCCAGGGCTCCGAAAAACGCAGACACCCCATAAAAAAAACCACAGCAGCCTTTCCTCTTCCTATGTTGGCACAATTCCACACTAGTTCACCTACCTGCCTAGCATCCATTCACCCCCATCTTCGGTTCTATTCTCCCCTAAGTCTGGCTTGCCTACAAACCCAGTTTTGTAATCATTTTGCCAACATTAAAAATGTGTTCCAGGTCTGCACCTGACAGTCACTGGAATGCTACTCCAGGCTTTAGAAGAAAGTGAAAGTAATTTTAAAGGCCCCTTATTCTTTCTGTTACCTGCCTGCTGAAGTGGAAAGAAATCTCCCTGTTCCTTTATTGTGAACTGATTTGACCTTCCCATCTCCAAAGGGTGTGTGCAGGGAGCAGGAGCCTTTCCACTCGAGCCCCAGCTGTGTTGGAAACCCTCCTAAGGAGCAGCAATGGGTCAGGAATCTAGCAAGCCTCTATGGCCCAAGCCAGCAGGAGGGTATCAGTCCCAGACAGGCAGGAGATATGGAAGAAGGCATGCTTATGTCAGTTTCAGGCCGTCCATGAGCCAGCAGGAAAGGAACTCCAGCCAGAGAAAGACGACATCCGAACTCCCAATGCACAGATCAGACCCCAGTCAAATCACCAAGAGGAGCCGCTCGCCGTTTTCCAGCAGCCGTCGTCGTTGGGATGACAGTGAGAACTCAGGAAGAAGCCTGAATGTTGAGAATGAGGACTACACCAGGTACCTGCCAAGAGAGTACAGGGCTCCAGGTAGCAGAAGAGGAATGGCTTATGGACCTATTGACTCTTTCGGGGCAGAGGATAGCGAGGAGGAGGGGGCTGGGCCTGTGGAGCGAGTGCCAGTGAGAGCGAAAACTGGCAAGTTTAAAGATGATAAGCTATATGACCCAGAGAAAGAGGCGAGGTCTTTGGTTGGGGTGCCCCCCCAGTTCTCTAGTTTGAACCATGATGTGACACAGGAGGTTGGCAAGCTAGACCCAGCCCCTGCAGTGACACGCTCTGCTGGCAGAGCTGAGTTCCTGCAGCAAAAGGGCATGGCTCCTCAGACCTCTGCTGCTGACAGCAAGGTGGCTGCACAAGGCGACAGCCTGGAGAGGGAGAAACCAGAGCAGGATTTACCTGTGCACCCCAGCAGGGCTCCTGTGAGTATTTGTGGTGGTGGGGAAAACACCCCAAAGGGTGCAGAGGAACCGGTGGTGAGGCCCAAAATCAGAAACCTGGCCAATCCAAACTGCATGAAACCAAAAATATTTTTTGATACTGATGATGATGACGATATGCCACATAGTACTTCCAGGTGGAGGGATACCGCCGGCACTGGTGACCGCCACCCGGGCAGCCTGGCAAGAAGAGGCAGAGGCGAGAGTTCAAGTGGCTACTGTGAGCCAAAGTACCCTGAAGATAAGAGGGAAGCCAGGAACGACCAAGTGAAGCCAGAAAAGGTGCCGAGACGGCAGCGGACCGTGGCCGACCAGGACTTCTGGACATTCAGTGACGATTACTACAAATACTGTGATGAAGACTCTGACAGCGACAAAGAGTGGACTGCCGCTTTGCGTCGCAGGTATCGAGGTTGGGAGAAAAACCTGTCATCCAGTGGTGAAAGCTGGGAGACTCTCCTGGGGAAAGAAGAGCACGAACCTGAGCCAGCCAGAGGGAATGCCAACGCTGGCACCAGCCCCAGTGCTGGTGCCGTCCCTGGCAGCCATGGCGGCAGGGAACTTGAAGGAGTTCGAGACCCATCTCTTCAGGAAGATGCGCGGGTGTCACCGGGAGAAGGACAAGTCCCTTGGCTCCAATACAATGAAAAGGAAAGCAGCAGCGAGGGGGATAATGATTCCAGTCACGAGGTTCTGCAGCCCGGGGGCTTCATGCTGGATGGCAACAACAACCTTGAAGATGACTCCAGTGTGAGTGAAGACCTAGAAGTGGATTGGAGCCTCTTTGATGGGTTTGCAGATGGCTTAGGGGTGGCCGAAGCCATCTCCTACGTGGATCCTCAGTTCCTCACTTACATGGCACTTGAAGAACGCCTGGCCCAAGCGATGGAAACAGCCCTTGCACACTTGGAGTCTCTGGCGGTGGATGTGGAGGTGGCCAATCCACCAGCAAGCAAGGAGAGCATCGACAGTCTTCCCGAGATCCTGGTCACTGAAGACCACAGCGCAGTGGGGCAAGAAATGTGTTGCCCCATCTGTTGCAGTGAATATGCGAAGGGGGAGGTGGCGACCGAGCTGCCCTGCCACCACTATTTCCACAAGCCATGCGTGTCCATCTGGCTTCAGAAGTCGGGCACCTGCCCTGTGTGCCGCTGCATGTTCCCTCCCCCACTCTGAGACCAAGGCTCTTCACTCCTGGTCTGCTCATTTTCCCCATCCGAAATCCACAATACTGCAGGAGCCCTTTCAAAATTAACACTTGAAATGAGACTAATGAGTCCACTTACCTACTACTCTGATTGATTTCTTGTGATCAGTTCTGATGTGAAACGGTTGTGTATGATTGCATTAAAAAATCATACTGTCTTTTAGAGGTTAGAAAGGAAAAAACTAAACATTCTAAATGCTACCTAAGATGGTGGCAAGAGCCTAACATTTTCTAACCTGAACGTTGAAATTGGATGTATTTGTTTCTTCAGTAGAGTATGTTGCTATAATTGTAATGTCAAGTTGATCTGTTAAATATGTCCAAAAGGCATCACCATTTCTGTTGCATGTTATGGGTTAATGTTCCTGTAATTGCAGTGCAGTAAAAGCTTATTAAAGTTCTTTTGGTTTTACATGGTACAGTGGAATTGTTGGTTTTGTCTCAAGCAATGGTACTAAGTGACTTTTTAATGGATCCCTTGTATTTGCATCAAACTAGGGTTTTTGGTGTTCCCAAATAAGTAGAAGAACTTTAATTTCACTGAAAATGCTGACTCTGACAACAGCCAAAAATTAAGGATAATTTATAAAAGTAGGAATAAAGTATATGATTATCAAACTACTGTGGGGCAAAGGCTGCATACAGAATACTCTGTCAGTCTGTGGGAAGGAGAGGAATGAGAAAGCATGGTGAAATGAAAGAACAGTGATAGGAGTAAATCCAATCTGAGTGTTGGAGTGAAGGAGTTAAAATCCCCTTTTAGAAAACAGAAACTCCCAGAGGGAATGGTTAAAAAAAGTAAAGCTGTATGTGGATTGTATACCTTAACACAGCGACACAAAAGGAATAGAAAAATATATGCCAGACAAGTGCTGAGGAAAAGATATAGGCGCCCACTTACTCAGAGTGAACAGGCCTTAATGCTTGGCCATATTAGCTTCAGATCGATCTCTCTCGATCTCTCTCTCTCTCTCTCTCTCTCCCCCCCCCTTTCCCTCTCCCTTTTTCCCTCCCTCCCTCCCTCCCTCCCTCCCTCCTCGTGTCTCTCTCCAATAAAGAGAATTTTTTAGGTACAAATGAAGTTCGTCACCTGTCATATTTACCTTCCTCCAAGAGGTAAGCACTACCGAGGAAATGGTGTGTTTACTTCTTGTCTGTTAAGACATATGTGTGTATGTATGTGTACATATGTATGTATATTTGTGTGTGTGTGTGTGTGTGTGTGTGTATAACACCAATATAGAGTGTTTCTGGTTTTTAAATAGACATAATTGATAGAATGTGTAATTGTTTGATTTTTTTCACTCAACATGGTTTTTGAGATTTAGCCATTTTCATACATGTTGATCTAGTTTATGCATTTTTAACTGCTGTATACTAAATATTCAGTTGGGTGAATTACCACAATTTATTTATCTGTTCCCTTATTGGTGGACATTTAGGCTCTTCCCAGTATTTTGTGGCAATGAACATACTTCAGAACTGTCTCCTTGCACATGTGTGAGTTTCTCTAGTATACAGAGATGAAATTCCTGGGTCCTAGGGTGGGAGGTGAAATTTTGGGGTCCTAGGATCTGAGCATCTTCATCTAAACTAGATATTGCCACACTGCTTTCCAAAGTGTCCGCATTTATGCCCCTCCCAACAGTTTCCGAGAGCTGTTTTCAGCTCCAGCAGCCTGGATATTGTTAACGTTTCATGTTCAACCTCACCAGCAATCAGTGAGATGGAAATTAACGCAACAATTAAACATTTTCTGATTGTGTCCGTCAGAAAGCAATGGTTTTGCTTTGTGATAATATCTAGTCTGGGCGAGGAAGAGAAGAAATTGGAGCACTCTTGCTGTTGGTGTGAATGTAAACCATAGCAGTTTTTTGGAGAGCAGTTTGGGGAATAGCTATCTTTCAAAATCTAAAGTGGGGCCTGTCCTTCAGCCTGCCTTAAATACTTCGGTAATGTGGCTTAATACCCTGCAGCAGTTAAAACTGTATGTGCTGGTATGGAAAGCTCTCCAGGACATAATGTTAAGTAAAAAAAGCATATTGTAGAGCAATATGTACAGTCTTTATGGAAAATAAAACCTTACAAAACCAAACTATATATGAAAATGCATAAAAGTGTCTGGAAGGCTACACAGCAAACTGATGGCAGTGGTCACCTCTGGGGACGGACAGGGGGTTGGGGAAAGGAGTGAGGAAGGGGGGTTTGATTTTTTTCACCTGAAATATTAATTTGCTTGACTTTTTTTATAATGTCTATTTTCATGATTATTAGCAGAATAAATTAAATCAAAAACTTTCTGATGATTGAATAAAAAGGCAAGATGATGATTCTCTCGCTGCAAGTATGGAAACATGGGTAGAAGCCACAGTGCTTTTTTTGTGCACCTGGTCCCCCACAGACATTGTGTGTTACCCCTTGGCCTTCTGCCAGTACCTCAGCTGTCATGCAGACTCCGAAGTCTGCGGCCTTAGAGGGCCCTTGTTGGACAGGGGTGTGGTGGTTTGCCTAATATTAACCTTTTCTGCTCCCTGACTGGCACCACACGAGGATGTAAGTTAGGAGCACGCATGGGCCCCGGTCATCTTCCTGCTCTTTGAGTCAGAATTAGTAAATAAATCTGGGGAAGGGGACCCCCTCCCCAGTGCGTGCTGCAGAAGCCTGTTACTGCAGAGGATCATGCTGGAGATGAGGTCCTGAACTTTGTACCTCAGCTAAGAGCATCAGACCCTCGGGTTCAGTTCCTGAAGTCTGTAGGGAGGAAGTGAAAGGAGCCAAGGTCGCCCAGCGATTGCCCCTCTGCTGCTGTGGTGATGATCGTGTGGTCCAAGCTGACGGTGCTGGTGGCCAGAAGCTCCTGTGTAGGATGTCGCTGTGTCCTCGGCCTCCCAATACCCTTGTTCCTGCCAGGTTCTGATTCTTCAGCCTCCCAGAAAATTCCCCAAGCCTCCCTCCATAGCTTTCTAATAAAACTTTGGCTTAAATGAACTCGAATTGGTTTCTGTTGTTTGTAAGAAAGAACTCCAAATGGCATGCTTGCCAATATTATAGGCCACTTCTGTGCCTGTTTTTCCTAGTCACATGCGATATCCCAAATGGCCAGGGGTCAGGCAATTTCCATTTACAACACAGTGGACCCAGTATTGGCACCTGGAGCTGTGGTTCTAGAACAGCAGGTCACGGGCGCTGCTCCACACGAAGCACTCATTTTTGAGATTAGGTCATTTGGCGGGTTCATCAAAGGTGCCACCCACCACACTACACTTCTTGGTTTCTGGGCTTATTTCCTGGCTGTGGTCTAAATAGCCTCACATTTTGGTCACTGATTTGTAGCATAAACCACTATGTCATGGAAAAGGGCACCCCAGTTTCCTGAGGTGGTCCCCACAACTGGCCCTACAACTGAACTGTCATAAAACCCTTCCTGGATCAAAAGCACTACCTTCTTTTAGCCCCCACCCTCCCCCCGTTCCATCTAGATCCTTCTATGTGCCTGGATCTCTATGCTGAAATGTCCTTCCCAGCCCTGCCAATTTCGCCCATCCTTTAAGAAGTCCTGTTCACATGCAAGTTCCTGAAAACTATTTCCTGATAGCCCTAGCTCCTTCCCTCTCTGTGCCCTGTCTCTGGCCCTTGAGATCAGGAGCTATCTACGTCTAAGTCATTTCCACAGTCATTGTACCCAGTGCTTGGTTCAGAGGCACTTGCTGGAAAGATGAAGAGGTCCTCTGCTAGGGTAGGCTCAGGGCAGGGGCTGTGTTCAGACAGCCCAGGAGGAGTCAGGGAGGCTTGGCCCGATCACATTCATCGCACCCAGCCTCAGCCCCACCCCCAGGCTCTGTAGACCCTCGCACCCCTCCTCCTACACACTATCACCCTCTGCTCCCATTTTCTGTTTGTCCTGCTCAGTCTGCAGTGATTCACAGGCTGTTTTCAGGCCCAGGGTCTGTGGCTAGGAAATGGTGCTCATCTTGAAGATGGAACAATACATGGCAACCAGCCTTAACATACCTCTGTGGCCTGAATTGATCATCTGACAAACATGGAGCTAATGGGGTGCTTGTCCATCTGCCACCTGGTCCCAGCCTTTGGCAAGGCCTGGTGTGGAGCAAGACGAGTTCTAGAACCCCTGAGCAACATTTTCAGTTTGCCTTGACATTCGCTTCTGCAGCACGGGCCTTTGCAGCTAGGCACATCGCTGCACATTTCTCCTGCCCCCTGCATGCCTCCCACCCTGCTTCCTCCCTCCGGAGTTGATTGTACTGTCTCAAAGAGGGTGTCAAATGTTAGTAAGTCCTCATCACCCCTTACATTGGGATAAGACTTCCCCAGGCCCCTTCACATTCAGTGATGTCACTGGATCCAGCCGTAAGCCACAGAAGGTGAATGTTAAGGAAGCTCAGAAATATGGTGGCAGTTCGGAACAGAGAGCAAGATTATGTCTGCCTGGCGGAGGAGGGCAGCAGAGGTGTCTTCTGCACACCCATCCTAGCCCCTGGTGGTGTTGGGATAAGGATCAGGTAGGGGTCTCATCCTCAGCATAAGAGCCCAGACTGCCTCCAGCTAGACCCCCAACCCCCACCCACATTCAAGTGCTGCGGTCATCAGTGGTAGAGGCTGCCAGCCTCCCAGCAACACACGGAAAGATCAGGCAAGAGCAGCCTGGGGGCACCCAGATAAGAAGGCACCGGGCTTGTGGACGGGATAAAGGAGAGAAACAGGACACAGGATGGGGGCAGTGGGGGTGGTGGGGGTGGGGGTGTGGGTTTTTCCATAGGAGCTGGGGGCTAGGAGACAGTAACTACTTATGGAGTCAGAAAAATTTGGCTGAAGCAGGGCCTGGGAGCCACCCTGAAGGGAGGTAGGGACAGAGCACCAAATGTGCGAAGACCAATCTCCAGGCAGGGCCCCAGGGGAACCAAACCCAAGGCACTGCTCGGCTCAGATCAGGCTGGCATTCAGCAAATGCGTTCCTGCCCATGCTGCACTCAGAGCTGGGGATCCCGAGCTGAGTAGTTCACCAAATACAGGGGTGGGCAAAAGTAGGCTTACAGCTGTCCTACAAGTAACTAATACAATAATTACTAACTAATAATACAAGCATAAACTCTGTGTTTCACATACTCACAACTGTCAACCTACTCTTGCCCTACTTTTCCTTTTGTCAACCTTATGCCTGTGGTGTGTTGGCCAGGGGCCTTCAAGAGGTGAATAAGGCTCAGTGCTTCCCTCAAAGATCTCACAGTCTAGTGTGTGAAACAGACCTGTAAAAGGAGGATTGCAACCTTCTGTGGATGGCGCTATGTAGAGGCAAACACACAGTGACCTGGGAGCAAATATTCTGACTGGCTGTGCTGGGAAGAGGGAGCTGGTTGTTGGAGGCACCCTGGGTGAGG